GTGAAACGGCGATACAAATGATTATAGATGAATGGAAATTAATAACCAGTGAGAGGATGATGATAGGAGTAGTATTTATGGATCTGAAACGAGCGTTTGAGACTATAAACAGAGAAAGACTAATAGAAAAATTATATCAATATGGAATCAGAGGAACGGTGTTGGAATGGTTTCAATCTTATTTAGATAATAGAAGGCAACAAGTGCGTTTTGGGGATAGAATATCTAATCTACTTGAAACTAAGCATGGAGTCCCACAGGGTTCTGTATTGGGACCTTTATTGTTCATTATATATATAAATGATATAGTTAAAAGCTGCTCAGAAGGATGTAGGATAAAATTGTTTGCAGACGATACTATATTGTACACAACCAGTGTAAGTTGTAATGAAGTTGAACAAAAAATGAATTTTATGTTTAATAAAGTTGAAAAATGGTTAAAGGTAAATGGATTAAAGTTAAATGCAAATAAAACAAAATATATGGTTGTAAGGGGTGTGAGGAAAGAGCTGAAAGTGTGTACTGTAGTGAAATGTATGGATGGGATACCAATAGAACAGGTGGAAGAAATAAAATATCTCGGTGTAATCATTGATAACAAATTGAAAATTGATGAGCATTGCGATTATATGTGTAAGAAGATAGAAAAAAGAACAAGTTTCTTGAACAGGATGGGTAATAGTATATCGGCGTATATAAGATGCATTGTATATAAATCGATTATTGCGCCTCACTTTGAATATTGTGCGACCATATTAATTGGGATGGGCGAAGCACAATTAGATAAGTTACAAATAGCGCAAAATCGGGCTATGAGGGTCATACTTCAGTGCAGACGGGATACTGAGGTAGTACGTATGTTGCAATCGTTACAAGTTATGTCTGTGAGACAGAGGTACTATAACACAGGTATATTTATTTTTAAAACAGTAAAAGGCCTCTTGCCCTATTATTAGAGAAATAAGATACAAATAGTGAGTAACATAAGTGGTAGGTAAACGAGGCAAGGGGAAAATATTGTGATCCAATTTCGACGAACAAAGAATACGCAGAAATGTATGTTTTATAATGGAATAAAGATATATAACAATTTACCGATGGAGATAAAGTATTGTGAGAGATTGGAGTATTTTAAACGAAAACTAAAAAAGCATATTTTAAGAGTAAGTTAGTGTTAAGTTAGTTCATAGGATTTTCAAGTGTATTGTAATAGCTGAGAAGGCTAATAAAGATCAAATCAATCAATCTCTCACACACTTTCTCTCACACAATCTCTCTCTCATATTCTCTCTCTCTTTCTCTCCTTTCCTCTCTCACACTCAATCTCCCTACCATTCTCTCCTTCCCTCTCACACTCTCCTCTCTCTCACACACTCCACCCTTTCACACTCCTCTCTCTCTCTCTCTCTCTCTCTCTCTCTCTCTCTCTCTCTCTCTCTCTCTCTCTCTCTCTCTCTCTCTCTCTCTCTCTCCCCCTCCCTCTCCCCCCTCTCCCCCCCCCCTCTCTCTCTCTCTCTCTCTCTCTCTCTCTCTCTCTCTCTCTCTCTCTCTTTCTCTGTCTCACCCTCTCTCTCTCACACTCTATCTCTCTCACACTCTTTCTCACACTTTCTCTCTCTCATCCTTTCTCTCTCTCTCATACTTTATCAAAGCTCTTTCGCATAGTCAAAATACGTGCAAAAATGAAGCGAAACATTGCCATGCAAAAGGATTTGAAATTCAGTCCCGTCAGTGTGACGTAAATTTGCAATTACACATAAAGTTTTTCTAGGCCGATATAGAATATTAATTTCATATTGAGCAATGCTCCGTTTCATATTCCCACACATGTACTTTACCTTTATAAAAGAATTCTCAATTCGGCGCATCGAATGCGACGTAAACTTTGCAAGAAACAGCAGGTGTCCTATCGCAATAGTTTCGCATCATTTTTCTAAGATGTTTCTTATTACTCTTTTTTATTTTCGTACGAATATTTATTATACGAAGCGAAAAGGTTTTCAATTTGGTACAGCCAGGGCGACATAAACTTTGCAAGGACTCGTTGTTCTAATCGCAATAGTTACTCATCGTTTTTCTCAGATGATTTATTCCACTTTATTTTGGCAGGAATATACACTGTACGAAAGTCTTCTTCATTCCGTGCAGCTAGTGCGATGTAAACTTTGTAAGAAAGTATCGGTTTTCTATTCGCAATAGTTCCTCATCGTATTTCTAACATGTTTTTTATTGCTCCACTTTATTTTGGCAGGAATATTTGCTGTACAAAAGCGTTTTCAATTCCGTACTGCTAGTGCGACGTAAACGTTGCAGAAGGAAGTCGGTGTCTTAATCGCAATAGTTTCCCATCATTTTTCTCGGGTGACTTGAATTAATCCGCTTTATTTTGATAGGAAAATTCACTGTACTAAAACGTTTTCAATTCCGTACTTCCACTGCGACGTAAACGTTGCAGGAGGAACTCGGTGTCCTATTCGCAATAGTTTTTCATCGCTTTTTTCGGATGATTTGTAATACACCGCTTTATTTTGGCAGGAATATTCACTGTACGAAAACGTTTCCGTACTGCTAGTGCGACGTAAACTTGACAAAAAGAAGTCGATAACACGATAAAGTGAGAAGCCGATTTACGTGAAAACAAGCATACTGTTTCTGAAGAATCATTTTCTTGTAATAATATTCATTGCTCAAATTATTCTTTATTATGTTACACTGTATATATATCAGCAAGTCGAAAAATCCGAGAAGCAGCAGCAAAATGCACATTTCCGAGAGAAGGCAAATATCGGCAGCATTGCATTCATATTCATATAAGATCTGTGTGTAGAAAAGTCAAAATTACAATGCACACACACATTTGTCCGAAGTTTGTGAGAAAAAATATATATGGAAAAATGCGATGAAAGGATAGCGTAATCGCATCAGCGCTTATCCGGCAATTGTCTTTACTATATAAATACTATGTAAATATATGTATGTACACATATGTGTATTAAAATTCACTAACGTCGATAACAGATGATAACGTTCCCTACTTTTTGACGATCGCCTCTACGTTATCGACGCTTTGCAAGTTCGTTGACGACTTCAGCCCCTTAACCCCTTAACCGGCTGAACAGCATCAGTTTTACTTTCAGGTCGTTTTTAGGGATTTTTGAGATATTTTTTACGGTTTGGAAACAACTGTGACGTCCCAGGATGATCGTATATATAGTTATATATAGTTTAGACTCGATGAATCAAATATTAGTATTAGAACCTATTTTGAATGGCTCTATATCCAACACATCGGGATACCTGCTTTTGATCGTTTTTAGGGATTTTTGAGCTGTTTTTTGGGGTTAGAGAAGAACTGCGACGTTTAAGGACAATTCTGATCTTAGATTCGGATTTAGCGGATCAAAATACATGAGCTATCGTATTTTACGTTGAAAATTCGGAGTTTCTTATGATTTGATTCAAAATACATTATAGTTCTCGTGCATCTTTCGGTATATTTAGCACCTGGAAGCCACCACTCTGAATTTACAAAAAGGCCATGTTACTTCTAGAAGTATTCGAGTAAACGGACAATTCAAGCCCTTACTCTTCCCGATCCGATGCGTCAATTTTTGAAGACGCCGGTGAATCGGTTGATGCGGAACGTCCCATATATTTAAATAAAAATTATTCCGAATTTTGATACTAAATTGATCTGTTTTTTTTTTTATATATCTTTAATATATAACTCTAATCCGAAATCGGTTTTAAATCCAGATTTCCTATTATAGTTAGATATCTGAATCTTTTGAAGCTTTATTTTGTATATTTAACTAATAATATATTAGAGCAAATATATTGTATTGTAAGAATATTGATGATGAAAAGGAAAAAGAGAAATATTGAAGGTTGTATGATATACAAAACGACAAAGGACGGGTTAATGCGACTGTTTCGACTCTCGTTTTTTTAACGGACTATTCCTTAAGCGTCACCGCGGCGAATTTCTAAATGCGAAATGGGAGACGGCACAAAGTCTCAATGCTTCAGTGCGCGGGAGATAAAAATAAAAGAAAGCATAAAAGAAACATTACAATAACATAAAATACAGGGTGTTCCGTAAGACGAGGTCAATCGCTCGAGAAATGAATGGGGAACCACAAACAAGAAAAAAAGTTGATATAAACATAGGTCCAAAAATACGTTGTTTTCGAGTTATCGCCATTTTTATGTTAAAATTTGAAATTGCTTTGCTTTCGAATTTTTTTGGTTATGGAATTTCGATGGTTTTTATGAGTTTCAAAACACAACTAAAGTAAAAAAAAAGTTGCGGCAAAGAATAACTAATGGATTTGAAAACATTAGAGAAAATCCGGAAGTGCAACAAAGAGTTCGGGACTCCTTAGAAAGAAGACTTAGAGCCTGCATTCATGTAGAAGGAGGTCATATCGAACACCTCATATAATTTTACGTTCACGCTCACGCACACGCACGCACACACGCACGCACACACGCGCGCACACACGCGCACACGCACGCACACACGCGCACACACACACACACGCGCACACACACGCGCGCGCGCGCGCACACACACACACACACACATACACACACACACACGACAGAGAGGGTTTGGAGTCACTACCATAGGAGTGACGAACTGTGGGGTCCTGATCTCTGCCAAAGGATGCTAAGCGGGCTGTACCTCCACGCGGTGCATCCTGGGTGGTGCTAAAGCAGCCCGCAACTTTTATTTGACTTTAGTTGTGTTTTGACACTCATAAAAACCATCGAAATTCCAAAACCAAAAACAATCGAAAGCAAAGTAATTTCAAATTTTAACATAAAAATGGGAATAACTCGAAAACAACGCATTTTTGGACCTATGTTTGTATCAACTTTCTTTCTTGTTTGTGGTTGCCCATTCATTTCTCGAGCGATTGACCTCGATTTACGGAACATCCTGTGTAATTAATGAAATCTGTTACTTCCAACATATTGTATATCTTGTGACTTACGTTATTGGATAATCATATTGAATGTGCGTAAGACTATTTTCCAACTTGCATGTTTCTGGTATCCATATAGTCAAAGTAGAATGGAAACCGATGGCCAATAATGATCCATCCATGGAAAATCCTGCATCCGTAATAGTTAAGCCGCGATAGTCATTCTTTGCATGGCAATGCCATTGTCTCGTCTCTTCTATAACAAATATAATTACATGAAATATCGATGTTAAATGTGAGACTTCTCTGATTAAAATTAAAGTAATTAGATCTGCACCTTGTACACTCGAGGGTTGCCCTAAAATCCATAATTTAAATTTATTATCTTTCCCAGTGGTAATTGCTAACCATTTGTCATCATTCAATGTTTTATTTGGTTGAAATTGTAATGCATTCACACCATTTTCGTGGGGCAATTCAATTGCTGTGTTTAATATGTATCTAAATTGACAGAGAAAAAAATTATCTATTAACGTATGATGCCAATATATGATATTTATATGTGACGTGATATTATGATGTGATATAATGATAAAAGATTACTACAGCAACATACCAGCTGAATACAAATAGAATATAATGAGAAAAGGAAAACAGTGAAGAAGATATGTAGAACATACTAAAAATAGCAGATTGCAACTCATAAATGAACAATATACTAAACATGTAATGTGTGAGATGTACGAAAAGATCAGACGCAAGCGCGAGTGTTTTCAGCTCATGTTATATAATGTAAAAAGTGATACAGGCGAGATATTAACTGAAGATAAAGAAATCACAGACCGACGGAGGATATATTTTGAAAACATGCTCAATGAAGGAAAGAGAGACTGGACTTTGTCAAGCAAAATGAAAAATATATTTTCCCTTTTAAATTAGATAATATGATGTTGATTATTGTCCAAGTTATTCTATTCTAGACCTATCATATCTTTTTGTAGTGTATACTTACATCTGTTTATTCCAATCAAATCTCCAAAATTTCAATCTAACTTCTATGTATGAGACTTTATCGTTTCTCTCTTCGACTGTTGCCATCCATGTGCCATCAGGATTCAAAGCGATCTTTGTAACTTCCGTATTTACAATAATCACATCACGCTCTTGGGTCAAAAAATTTTGTGCAGTGATGTTAATCTACAAAATATAATATATTCACTGTTTCTTCTTTCTTGTATATATATATTTTTATATAATTTATATATTTTATGTGCAAAATGAAGCACATAAAATAGATCACCTGAATATCTCAGCTGTTTTAGTGATAGAAAAAAAATATGTCAGACCCAACTTGCATCTGCACTTCCTTCTCTTAGCTGGCCCCCCTCCTCTTGGGATCCGCATCCCCCGCCAGAGTCACCGATCGAAAGTAGGGGAAAGGAAAGGGGAATGGTGTGTTGGACTAAGGCTCGGTCCTACTTTTTGCCCTCCTCAATTACATCTGAGGAGGGCTGGGAGTCCTCTCTTTCCCGAATATAAATTATTATGTAGTGTAAGGGAGGCTGTACAGCCAAATAGAAAGTAATATTAAATCTCAAGTACGTCCCTGCTCCACAAAGGCCCGATGGTAAACATCCCAAGGGAGTTTTAGCCGGCAAGAGTCCGGCATAACTCTAGCTCTCTTCCAAGGGAGCGAGGATATCCATGAGGATTTCCCTCCGTTAAAAAAAAGACCAAACTTGCATAGTGTCGAGAGGCACATAATTTGATGTAAATAATTTTTTAATAGGTGAACGCGTAGAGAGAGATCATATGAACTTCTAATATAAAATCAATTTCGTTTTTTTAAATAAAATGTTTCTCTTACGTATTACCTAGTAGAGCGTTTTAACCCCTTGACTGTGGATGACGTGTATGGCCGCATGAAAAAGTCGTGCCACCAGTGTGGATGACGTGTATACACACATCGAAGAAAAAAAATAGTAAAACTATTGTTTTTTGCATACAGGTGGGTATCTATATGTTTTTGGGGTCGCTGAATCCGAATTTGATATCAAAATTTCGAAATTCAAAATGGCGGATCCAACATGGCGAGTCAAAATTATAAAAATCATGAAAATCTGATTTTCAAAATTTAGATCCGCCATTTTAATTTTAAAATTTTGATATCAAATTTGGATTAAGCGATCCCAAAAACATATAAATACCGACTTTCATTAAAATCTAATTATTTTCATAATTTTGACACACTATGGTCGATCCGCCATTTTGAATTTTGAAATTTTGATATCAGATTCGGATTCAGCGACCCCAAAAACATATAGATACCCACTTTCATAAATATCCGATTATTTTCATAATTTTGACCCACCATATTGGATCCGCAATTTTGAATTTCGGAATTTTAATATCAAATTTGGATTCAGCGACCCCAAAAACTTTTATTATAAAAAGAACATAAAGAAAATTCGACATTTTTCCAACACAAAAATGGCACAACTAGTACATTTCTGCCTCCACAGTCAAGGGGTTAAGACACGTACAATAACCTACGATTCAAGGTTATTCAAAGATTATTAAAAGCTAATTGGAAAAAGAAATAATTTACTTTATGTGAGCGATATTATTTTTTCGTAATTCCTCTGGTTGTTAATAATGCCACGATAATATGAATTGTCGAATATAAACAAATATTCAGTTACGTTGTATACTTTTACTATATTCAGTTACATTGTACTCTGTACCCATATTAGTTTGCGATATTTTGTCGATCTTGCGATGCGACTTGTAGTTTTCGTGCGGCTTGTAGTTTTCAAAATGTATTATTCAAAGTTTGAGAAAGTACATATGGTCTACATTTATCGCGAATATCGTCAAATTATGAGAGAAACAGTGCGTTTATATGCAAAAAAAGTTTCTGAGCATGCTAGACTCTCGTAACGTAACTGAATGTTTATAATAGAAGCATACAACGTAATTAAATATTTATTTACATTTGACGATTCGTATTATCACAACATTACTAACAACCAGAGAAATTCTATCGAAAAAATTCTATTACTTACATGAAATAAATTATTTTCCCTTTACAATTGGCCTTCAGTGACTTTGAATGGCCTTGAATGGCTTTGAATGATTTTAAACCATATGTCATTGTACGCATTTTAAAACACTCTACCATATAGTACGTAAAAAAAAAAACATTCCATGTAAAATAAGTTAATCTCATATCAGAAATTCATATGATCTCTCTCTCTCTTTCTCTCTCTCTACACGTCCACCTATTAGAAAATTATTTACATCAAATTATATGCCTTTTAACACTATATAAATTTGATCTGACACATTTTTTTCTATCATCAAAACAGCCGAGATATTCGAGTGACCAATTTTAGGTATTTTACCCTGTACTATACCTTTTATATAATCTTTCTCTACATTCACATTTAATATTTTACTTACATTGTATAATAGGTTTTTAGTGTGAGTGTTGTAAAATTGCACATGTCCGGTGCGACTATTCAGAACCAGACAACCCGTCCTCGGGTCGACAGTAAGTCCTGCAGGAAACAGATCTTTTGAGGAAGACACAATACCCCATGTAAAGTTTTGTATCACTGTTGTCTGCTTTTTTTGAGGATTCACAATAAGAATACCTGTTATCATTTAATATAAAAGTAATCACTGTATATTATTATTATTAGAAACTTCAGTAAAATATAATATAGTTTTACCATTATCTAACATCGATACAGCTACGTATGAATTATCTGGTGCAATTGTGAGATGTTTAATAGGTGCTGATAATCGCGGAAGAAATGATTTATGTTGAGGGTTTGCTAGAGTCCACTTTACTAACACACATTCACTACCACCTGTATACATGTGGCCACCTATAATAAAATAAATATATACATTATTTCATATAAAGACATGTGGAATACTTTAGAAATCTTGAATAACCATTACCTGATTTACTAAACATTATTTCGGTAACTGGCAACGTATGCCAATGAAAGACAGCAGTGTATGGTCTGGTTTGAAATAAACCTCTCCAAACCACTACACGACCTGTATTATCTCCTGTAGCAACACATTCTTCTATCGGATGTCCTGCTATACAAGTAGGTAATCTACTTGTATTACCAGTCTTGTGTCTATGTATTTATACAAGAAATTTAACAAATAATTCTATGAAAAGTTCTAATGTATATAAATAGTAGTTTTTAAACATCTTACAATTTGTCCACTAAATTTCTTGCTGGATTTAATATGTGTAAATCTGTATCATGAAGGAGTGCTACCAAATTTTCTTCATGATTTCCAATTATATCAATGTAATATTCTTGTGACTTAGCACTAAAAAATTATAATAAAAAAATTATGTATATAATAAAATATATATTGAATAAGTATATATGTTCATGCAATTATTAGACAATTGTTAACCAACAATTTATTCTGCAGAAAAAAACATATTAGAATGTCAGATATATACTTACAATATATATATTGATTTTATACATGTTCCATTCTCTATATCAAATAAAAGTACATAGATCTTACTTCCACACTCAGAGATATGAGTTATTAATGCTTGACATATTTTATTTCCTTGAGGTGTCTTATATTTAACAATATGGAAAGTTTTAACTTTTGCCTTGTCATTTCCTAATTTCAATGGCTATAAATATATATATATATATATATTTCTTTTGATATCTTATATTTATAGTTATACAGTTTATTGTTTATTCAATTATTTAAATTAACATCAGTTATATTGCATATCTCCTCTGTACTTGAAACATGTATAAGCTATATAATAAACTATGTATAAGCTATATAACAACTTATATATTCATTACTCATATTGGAAAAATGTTTTAAGAATAATTCATTATTTGTTTAAATTTTTCTTGAATAATAAAAAATAGTAGATAGTAACTAAAGTAGTTGGACAAATAAAAATAATGAAAATAATAATAAACAATAAAAACTAATTATGAAGGTAAGTCATTGCAAAAAAAAGTAATTTGTGGTAATAGTACAAATAATATATTATTATCCAACTTTACTCATAACTTAATGCTTAACTCATCTTACCAGCTTTCTAGTGATAATGTTGTTTTGACAGCACCAAAAATCCAGCTGACCCTTTTCGGTACAACCTATAATCATATGCATATTATCTGGATGCATTAATATACCAACTATTTTGTAGTCTGAAGGTTCAAATTCTTGCACAAAGTCTCCAGTTTGCGTGCTGCACACTTTTATGACATTCTTCCATATTATATATAAACTTCTGAAAAGAATATCCCCATTACACATAAATAACCGCATACATAATAAATTTAATGAAAAGACAAAAACTCACTCGCCATCGCAGGAAAACAGCGGACGTTGATCGACTATACTTCCACCGCTTTTTCTTTTCACTGTTAAATCATCCAACTCGATAAGGTTAACACTTGAACTCACAGACGAATTCATACCGTTTCTGACTGACATCAATTGCATTTTAGCAAAAATTAAGTAAAAATAATTTCACTTCAAAATGGTATGCTTATATAATAAATATATATCGAGTTTGTATATAAAGAAAATACTTATTATCATGGATATAACAAACACATCGAGTAAAGATATGTGTCACTATACTATGTAATTCAGCTCAGTTCATTCATTCATTCATTCATTCACTCAATATATGGCTCTGAACAGAGTGATTACACTCCTTCTTTTACGCCAATTACGATTTTGGAAATAAAAGAGAAACAGGGACAACGCGTACGCAGTCTCCAAGATAAAAAAATATGCGTAGTTACAGGAACCACATTCAACCGTTATGGAGGCGAACAAAAAACTCCTCAATTCAGTTCAACAATAGGACCAGAGCACAGACTTCTGCATAACGCATAATACACAACGCATAAGAGAATCAACCCATCAGAGTTCTTCATTTCTGTCCTGAAGAGGGAAATGAAGAAAACTAATTGGCTGCATTCAGCAGACTCAACAGTTGGACATTATTAGATTTTCCACTAAATCTCGCTCCTGATTGGTAAATACTTCTGGGTCTATGAAGAATCTAAAAGAATGCTCCAATCACAGACAATAATCACTAAGCGCTCACTGATCATTTTGTTCTACTGAACGCAGCCAAATAGGTTTGTTCGCATCGCATGCTTCAATGTACACCAGGGAGCATTTGGATCACGGATAAGATGGTGGTTGGAGCAGATGAGTTCATGTGCACCAATGCTCAGTGACACAAACGAATTGGAGCAGTTTCTCTTCTTTTAAGATGTATGCAAACATGCAAATTAACTCGCAGCATGGATCCATTGGAAGATTTTCTCATTGGCTTTAATATATTAATTATGAATGAAATTAATGAAAATCTTTTATCTTTAGCTGTAATTCGTGATTTATTTGTGGAAGACAATGGGAACGACGATGAAATAGAGAGTGAGTATTGATGAAGATGTGACATCCTAACCTTATTTGCTATAACCTCTGAACATTATTAGTTTTAATTTGTCTTTTCGGTAATTATACAGAATATCCCCCTCACCTCCGATTTTGATAAAAAAATATTTAATCGACGCATTTTTTCAAGAGAAACAACTTTTCTATTTGAAAAAATCTCTGTCGGAATCTTATCTGTCGCCTCCGTGACAGATTTCCTAACCTAAATTGTCATCAACTTTAACAATTTATATCTCGCTCCACAAGACAGAGCGACGACTTTTTCAAATAGAAAAGTTGTTTCTCTTGCAAAAACGCGTCGATTAAATATTTTTTCGTCAAAATTGGAGGTGAGGGGGGTATTCTGTATAATTACCGTCATTTCCTTAAATAATTAGTGCATTTTTATTTGATTTTATATAATTTGTAGATATTGCTATTAATGCAGTTATTGAAATGGCTGAAGGTATCATTCAAAGAAGACGTAGAACATGCATAACTAATTATATTGAACAAATAGTGCCAATGTATACCAATGAAGAATTTATTATGCATTATCATTTAAAAAGAATGCTTTTCAGAAGCATGGTGGACAGATTTAGTTATTGGGCACATTTTAGAAAACTATGAGGTAGATACTGTTTTTTAAATTAAAGATTTAATATCATAAACTTTTCATTTTATTTTAAATAAAGTATAATTAATATTTTATATAGGACATGGAGGATTTGAAGTAGTTTCGGCTGAAAAACACATTCTTACTTTTCTATGGTTTGCTGGGCATCAAAGTGCAAGTTTCAGGGATGTTGCTGATAGATTTAATTTATCTCTTAGTGCCCTTGAATCAGTGTTACAAAGAGTCACACAGTTTTTATATGATTTAAGAAATTAATTTATTCGGTATCCCACTGAGGCAGAAAAGCAGAGAACGCAGAGATACTATGTAGAAAATAAAAATTTTCCAGGAATAATTGGTAATAATGTAATTTTTTCTGATGATGTACTTAATTTAAACTTACATTTTTGTAATTTAGTGTGTAATGATATAACTTAATTAATATTTCTTTCCTGTTACAGGTTCTATTGATGGTTCACACATCCGTATAGACAAACCTTCTGAAGATCCAGTAGCCTATATCAATAGAAAATATTATTTTTCCATTCACATGCAGGGAACAGTTAATGAGCAGAACAAGTTCTTAGATGTGTTAATTGGATATCCTGGCTCAGTGCATGATGCAAGAGTATTTGCAAATTCTAGTCTGGCTGAAGACTTACCAGCACTCTGTCACAGTATGAATCCATAATAATCATAAACAATTATTGTATTATTGTTTTAGTCGAATATCTCTATTCTTGTTTAATTTAATTAATATACATATACTTTATCGTGAATGTTTATTTAACTTTTGATGTTTATCTTAAGCAAATGTAATTTTTTTAGACGGAAACATAATTCTTGGAGACGCTGCATATCCATGTCTTCCTCAATTAATTACTCCATATTGGGATAATGGACATCTGACACAGGCTCAAAGAAACTTTAATCGCATACATAGTCAGTGCAGAATTTCTGTAGAACATACATTTGGAGTATTGAAACAGCGTTTCAGGCAATTATATTTCCTTAAGCTGAGGAACATGCAGTTCATCGTTAAATTCATTTTCGCTTGTTGCGTCCTTCATAATATGGCTGACTTTAATGGTATGCAATACATGGAAGAATCCGAGGACGACAATCATGCTGATGTAAATGCACAGGTGTTGTTACCCCATGTCCTGCCAGAAGATAGGGATGAAAATCCTGTTAATGAACGATGTGGTTGTGATCTCAGAGATGAACTATGCCGACAATTGTTCCAAAGACGATTCAACGTAGAGTAGAGATATATTAAGACAAATTTTAATGACTATATGATATATATATATATATATAAATATATAAAAGTTCAGCGTTAAATAAATAATATGTTTACATCTTACATCAATATCTATGTTTTCAGTCTTCATATGATAATTCTTTTTCTTAGGTATATTCTTTTTACCATTTTCTCTAATATCGATATATTGTTTTTGCAAGATATTATTTTGCCTTTTTTGCGTTTTATTACACTTTTAACGTTCTGGAATTTTGTGCGCGCTTATTGTAAAAAAAAGCAATTGATTATTTTATTTTTATGTTTATATATATCATGTGCTCATACATATTTGTCTGGATATACCTTAAAAAGTGGCCATGAGAAGATGATTACTTCTTGTAATAAGTTCTACTTTTTTTAAGTATTCTATATGTATATATAGTAAAGTTAAAATACATATCTATATTTTATATTTATTTTATATGTTTGTATACGTATTTTAATTTAATTTCTTTACACAAAAACAATTTAACATAATGATCGTTATCTTAACAATCGTTATATTAAATTATTCATATTAGGAGAAGTTAAGAAAGATAATAAAATCTCTTAAATATTATATTAAAGTTTTATTTGTGGTTATAGAATGTTTGAACAAAAAAATTCTTTTCAACAATACATATCAGTTATCTACACATCAGTTTGTTTTAATATCATATATTTTATATCTCTAATAATTTTTTCACAAAAAATAAATACAATTAATATATAATGCACGTATGTAATATTTCAATAAACTGACTAAACTGACTAAAAATGACTGATGATTAAAAGAAATAATAGTTTTTATCCTTTATCAGCAACTGATTTTAAATAATATTGCTTTATTATGTAAAAAAAACTCAATCGAGTAAACTTAACTTTGACTTCTCGAGAAGTTTAATACGAAGTCTTATCGTGCTATCCATTAAAATTAACAGAAAATGAATAAATAAAAATTTGAGAAATTAAATATTTATACTTAATCAAAAACTAAAAACATAACCAACATTGTTTTAAATATGGTCAAATAAAATATATGTTTATATCTAACAATTATTTCAATGTTTTCAGTCATGTAATAATAATTCTTTCTCTGTTGGATTTATCTTTTTGGCCAAATTTTCAAGTACCATAAGTTGTTTTTGCAGAATGATATTTCGTTCTTTTTGCAATTCGTTAAATTTTTGAAGCTCTGTCAGAAATTTTGTGCGTATTTCTTGTTTATCATCACTTATTTTTTGTAACACGGCACAAATGGATTCTTTGACTGATTGCAAAGTAAGCGCCAATTTGCCATCTCGTACTTTTACTCTTGTATTTGTTAAAGAGGAGCAGCTGCTACCCGTCATTGATGATCTGCTGCTATTAGTCGATAATGTCGGAACTGAAACATTGCTCCTTGTTGGTGACGAATTGTTTCTCGATGACAAGAGATTTAAATTGGTACCTACAGTTACGAGATTCGGTGAATGTAGTACAGAAGAAATCTGCTCTTGTTTCTCTTCATTCTCATTTCTATAATAGAAAACACTTTTAATTACTTATCTAAATGAAGACAAGAATTTAAAAATGTATTTTAGAGAGATCATTACTCACTCAGACAAATTTTGACAGACGTTTTGCAAAATTTCTTTTTGAGAAATAATTCCATTACGGCTAGCCACAATAAGTGGCACTCCACTGTGACTTTTTCCAAATATTTTTATCATTTCTCTATAAGGAAAAGTATACAATCCATTAGTGACTAAATATATATATTTTAAATATTTCGAAAATAACAAAAAGAAAGCAAAAATATCAAAAAAGAAAGATGATTAAACTGTCCAAATAGACATAAAGATATCTTTTAGACTTCTAAAAGATATTTTGCTATGTCTCCAGATGTCTTGTATTTCTGAAAAAGATATTTTTTAGAGATTTAAAAGATATCTTATGCAACAAGTTAAGATATCTTTTACATATTTCGATGAAATATAAAAAAACATCTTACACTTTAAGACGTGATATTTTAAAACGTTTACAAATTTTATTTTAGATATCAAAAAATATACTTAAGTTATTTGAAAGATATTTAAGGACATATTAAGATCTAGAAAACATCGAGATCTTAAAGATATGTCATTATATTGGGTTGGCAACTAAGTGATTGCGGATTTTAAATAAGAATGAAAATTCAAAATTTTAAATTTGCTTTTTTAAATTTTTTTCAATGCATATATGCGATACATTGAGCTTCTCTGCAATATCACGTGTTGTACTATGACGATCTGAATCGATAATGGCCTTGATATGGGTCTCATCGACTTCAACTGGACGGCCAGATCGTTGAGCATTTTTCAATGAAAAATCACCAGAACGAAATCTGGCAAACCAATTTTGACACTGCCTTTCTTTCAAGGCTTCATTCCCATATACGGCACATAACTTCTTGTGTGCTTGCGATGCGTTCTTGCCTTTTCGGAAATAATACAATAAAATATGTCTGAAGTGCACGTCTTGCTCTTCCATTTTTAAATTGGGATAAAAACAAAACTAAAGAACTAATCGATATAATTTTTG